TGCTGGGTGGTGTCTGCCAAGATTCTATAGCAGACACCATTAAAACTATTAGCAAACACTAGGATGTGCCCAATACTACAAGGAGAATAAATATATTTATGTTTTCTAGGGTTTGGCCCAATCAGACTTGCCTTGACCCACATACATGCCAGCAGATAGGAATTTACAAACAATAAACATACGTTTTGCATCCTAGCTGTACTTTTAAGTAGGATAGTAAGAAATAGTTATGATTTTTGCAATTAGTAAGTCTGTGATTAACATTTAAGGTGACTAACAATAATTAACACAGCTTTTACTATATAACGCTAATTTTAAAATACCTTTCAGAACTCAAGGGGTCAGACCATTTTTGAAATTTTTGCAGAAGGCCTGGCTTATACTGGTATCCATTACCATCTTCCTCTCCTGGAAACTGGACCTTCAGATCTTTACTTTTTGGTACTGGGGATTGAACTTGGGACCTTTTGCTTTTGAGGCAGGCAGCGGCACCACTGAGCTAAATCCCCGGCCAGATCTTCTTGATTGTCTGATAATTTCATCATTGAGAACAAAGACAACTTTGTATTCAGGTATATTCTGCCACAGTGTGGACTTCTTTGTAAAATTTGTTAAATACAACTTTATATGGAAGAAACGCCCTTCAAGGGAAGAAAAAGACCTCAAAATTTACTTTTCTGGGAAGATCTGATATTTTATTAGAAAATACTATCCAGTTTAACCACATATCTTTAATTTTGTGACTCAATAAAAACAGATTACTCAGTGCCTATTTTATGTGATATAATCTTTTCAGTATTAGCATAAATCCATTTTTAAAGCAATTTTCAGTGAATGTAATCTATACCGATTGTGTACTATATAGTTCCTGATGAAGGCAGAATTGTTAATTTCAAAAAAATTCAGTTTACTTAGTTTATGTATTTTGCTATGACAGTCTGGAAGGATGAAGATAATGACTGTTATTTTTCAATTAATATGTTAATCTTAGGTGTTGAAGAAACAGTGATGAAGTCAAGCACTGATTGGTCTGTTGAAGAAACTGGAGAGCAAAGGGCCACTTCCTACATTTCTGACTTAGGGAAGAAATTGAGAAAAAACACAAAGTTTAGTGAGCATTTTGGAAAGCAATTTTTTGGTTTCAATTAGACAATTACAATCACCTCAGCCTTCCTGACTCTATAAAGCACAGAGAAAATAATGCTAGTTTCTTATTTTGCCTTTTGAGTGTCTGAGATGATTGCTGAGGGGTTCAAGTGTGCCAAACCTGCAGACTGGAAGGTGAGGAAAAATAGGGATATTTCTTACTCTGCTGAAGACCACAAGGTGCTGTGCCACATGGTGCAAAAACAGACTGAAACACAAAAGCAGCTCGGTGTCATCTGGGAACTTGTTAGAAATGCAGATTCCTGGGCCACTTCTGCCTACTGAATCAGAAACTGTGGCAGTGGGCCCGGCAATCTGTATTTTTTATTTTTTTGGTACTGAGGATCAAATTCGGGACCTTGTGCTTGTGAGGCAGGTGACGGCACCACTGAGCTAAATCCCCAGCCCTCCAGCAATCTGTATTTAACAAATCCCTTCCAAGTATATCTGACTCAGGCTCAAGTTCGAGAGATATAGTTCTAAGAAAACAAATCCATGTGGCTCAGAGTACTGGGCTTCCAAAGATTCAGTAGTAACTTTCATAACTGATAATGAGAAGTTACTTGTTGCTTTTAGAAGAAACTCCTTTCTTTTCCAAGAGAAAAAAAAAAAGAAAAGAAAAAAAGAAATCCAAATAAGCAACCAGGCATGGTGGCACATGCCTATAATCTGGCACTCTTGAGGCTGAGGCAGGAGGATCTTAAATTTGAGCCCAGCCTGGGCAAGCTGGCAAGACCTTGTTTCATAATAAAAAAACATAAAAAGGGCTAGAGATGTAGCTCAGTGGAGGCCCTCGGTTCAACCTCCAGTACCTAAAATAAATAAAATAAAATAGGAAAGCAAGTCTTAGAAATCATGTAGTTTATACCTCTCAATTGCAGAGGAAGAGAGGGAGACAAGTGGTAAAGGGTCATGCCCAAGGTCACACAAGCAAGGTGGTTCAGAGCCAGGATTAGACTTCAGGTCTGCTAAGGGTCAAGTTAGGGGTCAAAGGAGTTGACTGACTAGATCAGTTAGTGAAAAATACTGGGAATGGTTAGTGGGCATCACATGACTAACAACTCCATTGAATGACTGGATTGTTTTTTTAGTTGAAATCCTGCACAGAACCTCAACATATAAAAGACATGAAGGTGATATAAGCTTATTTTATACAAACTCAAATTTATAACATGTAAGAACAATGAAGGTATTTAACAAATATAAACTTTAAACTTGGAATTATAGATATAAGTAATTTTTATTAGTTCTATTATGTCACGTTTAGTTGTGCTTTAAATGTATTAATTCATAAATATTTACTGCTATTTTATAAATTAATACTATTATTATCCCTACTTTACCTATAACCATATGTTGCTCAATGATGGGGACATGTTCTAGGAAATGTGTTGTTAGGTGATTTTGTTGTATGAACATCCTAGAGTACTTCCACAAACCCTGCTATACCCCTATGGTATAGCCTACTATACACACCTATGTGATATGTGATATATATATATATGTATATGTATATCTCCTATTGCTCCTACAGTCATGCTGAACAAAACATGAGATTAAAACAAACACAAGAGAAATGATATAATCAGGAGACTTGGTAAATATGAATGCATGAGGCTGCTGCCAGCATAACACAGCATGCTGCTTTACAGTAAACTTTTTAAGGCATATGTATGTAGAGATATACTCTAAAATAACAATAGGAAATATAATGTAATAAATGCACACACCATTAACATAGCCTTTTGTGTTTTTTAGTTATACAGCTATTATACTGAGGTTTCTTTTCATCATACCATTGGAGTAGGTTCCACTGTTTCTTATATCCAATGTCTTCCTCTTTCTGGGATCTGTACTTTTTCTACCGTTGATCTTAGCCAAAAGGCCGAGAAGCGATATCTGTACTTTTTCTTTTAGTAATTTTTTTTCAAAGAGTGTATGGACAGCTGTTTGAATACCAGCATGCTGAAAAATATCTTTATTTTTCTCTCATACATGACATGTTTTGACTGGTTATACGATTCCAGATATGAAATAGTCTTCTCTAGAATTTTGAAGACATTATTCTAGCATCATTTCTAAGAACCACTTCATTCCTTTAAAAAAATTATTTGAATTAAAAATTTCCACCAGAACAGGTGTAAATATATATAAAGGGTGTGTGTATTTCAGATGGGTCTTTCATTTATTTATTTATTTTCGGTACCGGGGATCGAATTGTGCTTGTGCAACAGGCAGCGAAACCACTGAGCTAAATCCCTGGCCCCTCAGATGGGTCTTTCAAACTAAAGACTTCAGTTTTCAGATCAAGCCACTACTGTTGTTTTACCATTTTTTTTTTGTTGTCATTCAGCATTGTTTTGCCATTTTTTCTTTCCTTCTAGAAGTCCTACTTGACAATTACTGAATCTCCTGGATTTTTCTTTCCTATTTTTCATCTCAGTGGATTCAGAGGGACTTTGGGGGTGTTTGTCAGAAGTTCATCTTCCCACACCTGCCCATTCAGGATCCATACAGGAAGAGGCCTAGGAAGAGACTTAGACACATTCAGGAGGAAACTCATTGTGGTTTCTGAATGATCGACTTGTTTTCCTGATTTTAACTCTCAATTCCAGGGTGAAAGAGTCAGAGATAAAGCCAGGTAATGAAAGCACTTCGTGCTAGAGACTTCTGGGGTTCACCTTCTCAGGTTCTCCTGTCCTTCCTGGATCCACAGGACGATTATACTTCTTAGGTCTCCCACTGGAGAAAAATCATTACTTTTTGGGGGGAGTAACTATATCTTTTAATCTTTCTAAATGTTTACTAGTGAGTTGAGGTTCCTAGTATTGATAAACACCAAAACTAAAAAAAAAAAGTGATCTTTAACAACATCTACTTATCATAAACAGGTTTGTTCATCTTACCGAGCAACCTGCTTTCAGACGTAAATTGTGAAACAATAGGTTATATTTTTTATTAATTTTATCTCATTGTTTTTGATCAACATTAACTTTTTTTTTTTTTTTTTGGTACCGCGGATCGAACTTGGGACCTTGTGTTTTCGAGGCAGGCGGTGGAACCACTGAGCTAAATCCCTGGCCCACAAAATTAACTTTTATGTTTCTTTGTCTAATTTTATTTATCTTTACGGTGACTTTTATCCCACATCTGATACTAATTTCCCATTTCTGGTAGTGATGCAAAGTCACCTTTCAAAATAAATATGCTACATGTAAAATGAATGTATTTGAAGAAAAATATGAAAATAATTTTGCAGGTGGTGGACGGATATGCTACAAAGCAAGAAGCTGGTATAGAATGGCTGAAGATAAGGAAGCCCAACTTTATTTCAAACCATAAGAATCTCAAGGTCACTTGAAACTGAATACGGTTTGTGTGTTTTTACTCTCAGGAAAAGCTCTGGCTGTATGCTCATTCATTTAGTAGATTTCTAAGCCTTGGGCTGGTATCTGCTTGAAGACCCATTAATATTTCTTCCCCAAACATCGCGTACCTGCGGCTCCCGGCGCCTCCTCGGCCCTCTGAGACTCCTCCTTACCCACTAGCAGCCAAGACAACCCCAGGAATCGCTCGCCCCTCCTCTACCTGCAGCGCGGAGTCCAGAGTGGTGGTCCCGGGCCCGCCTGTACAGGGCCGCGAGGACCTGAGAACATCACCCAGACCGACTCCACCCTACGCCGGGGTAGTCCGAGACCCGGGGGTCAGAGCGGCCCCAGGTGATCCAGTCCGCTTGGCGACCCACGTTTTCGTGGCTGGTTGAGACGGCCGAGCATCAAACCCTGGGGCTCCTGAACCGAATTCCTGGTTCTGCAGTACGCCGGTCAGCAAAATTGGCGCCTGCGCAGTCTCCTGCCGCCGGTGCTTCGAGGAAGAACCCGCCCCCTTTACTTGAGCGACGCGTCACCGGTTGCCACGGAAACCACGTAGTTTCTTCTTCTTCTAGAGCTGGGCGCCCCAGTTGGGGTAAGAACCTAGCACTCAGCTTGTGTATTAGTTCTTTGAAGCGCTCAGGTAAGTGAATTCCGGAACGCCCCACCTACCCCTCCACCCTACCTAAAGCCTGTGCCGGCTGGAATCTGCCCTAATTTAAACCTGAGGGCTATTCGAACTTATCCAGGAGACTTGGGTTAAATTCTCGGCCCACACTCAGACAAACTTGGGAGAGGCCATAAGAGGGGCTGGGGTAGGAAGAAATGTGTCTATGAGGGGCGAGGGGCTGGGTGGGCTGAAGTGCTCAGCCTGGTCAAGACTTCCGTCTGTTCGTGTGTGTGTGTGTGTGTGTGTGTGTGTGTGTGCGCGCGCAGGCTTCAGAAATCCAGAGGTCCTTAAGGGCAGGGGCTCAGATTTCAGGTGGAATAGGAGTGAGGGTGGGGGTGGTAGATTTCAGCCTGGTGCCCAGGAGGCTGGTACATGTTAGTCTTCCTGTTGTTGCTGGCCTCTGCTAGCTGCCTTCTCATGTGTTCCTTTTCTTATTCTTTCCTTTTCTGTGTGTGTGTCCTGGGAAGTTTCAAGATTCTTTTATCTGCTGCATTGTATTCAGTTTACGTGTGTCACATTTGTTCATTTCTTAGAAAGTGTGTCTGGATTCACCTATTTGCTAGGACACTGGTCTATGACCCAGTAATTCTACTGAGTCATAAAACCGCACACATGTTTATCGAAAGACTTGTAGGAGAATATTCATAACATTCTCCTTATAGCCCTAACGTAGAAACAACCCAAGTGTCATAAACAGTAGACAAAGAAATTTTTAACAGAAACATTTGGCTTATTTTTGTTCAATATTATAAGAGTATATTGGTGTTTGAATTTATCAATTTGTGCTGTTCATTACAATCAGTCTTTTTTCATTCATTCTTTCTTAACTTTTATTCCTGTGTTCAACTTTTTATAATTTCACATTTTCCCCTTTTATTTTGGAGATTGTGTATTCAGTATCTTGTAATTGTCTAACCTAGAAATTACAGTATACTGTATTATCAATATTAGTTCATATTAATTAAGAGCATAATGATGAATGAAAGAAGTCAGATACAAGAAAATACATGGTATACGATTCCATTTATATTAAGTTCAAAACCAGAAGAACTAATATGTAGTGTTAAAGATTAGTGGTCACTCTGTGGGGCTGGGTGGTGACTAGTGACTGAAAAGAAGCTTGAGATGTTGACAATACTGGTTTCTTAATCTGGGTGTTGGTTACACAAATGTGTTCGTGTTGTGTACAGATTATGATTTGTGCAATTTTTGGTATGAATATCACACTCTAATAATAATAAAAAGGAACAAATTACGTTCATGTAATTTAAAATAAAGTCTACCTTTGATTAGGACTTTGGAAATTTCGAATGGCCAAACTACTACAACCTCCTCCCAAGTTCCTGCCCTCAGAGTGGCTCATTGCTAACAAGAACCAGTACCACAGGGCAGAGGCCCAAAGGTCTCGATCAGAACGGCTAGTGGCAGAGAGCCAGAGGCTTGTGGATGAAGTTGACAAGAGTACAAGGAGATCCCAAAGTGATGTGAACAAGAAACTTGGTAAGACCATGGTATATTTGTGAGCATTCTGATGAGGCTGTTGAGGTTTATTTATCATGTCCTGCTTGGGTGTGACAAAGTGTCATGCTTTTTTTTTTTTTCTGGTACCAAGGATTGAACTCAGGACCTTGCACTTGCAAGGCAGGTATGGTGCCACTGAGCTAAATCCCCAGCCCAAGGTGTCATTCTTGAAGTATTAGGGGAAAGTGTGTATTCTCCAGGCCCTGTGGTTAAATTCTGTGATACTATGATAGACACATAGTAACTCAGTTTGATTTTCAGCTATCCATCGTCATTCATTCATTCATTCATTCATTGACTTGATACACACCTTTTGAGCATCTATGGACTATGCCCTGAGAATATCAAAGGGAATGGTCAGTCTCCACTCTTCAGAAGTCATGGATTGAAGAGGAAAAGAGGGAGAAAATATTAACAATATACATATCTGACAAAGGATTTGTATCCAGAGTATAGCAAAAACTTTTAAGAATAAAAAAGAAAAAGGCAGAAAATTTGATAAAAAATGAAGAAGAACTTGACAGATACCTTACAAGAGAGGAAATACAACGGCCAATGAATGTGTGAAAAGGTAGTCTAAACTCATTAGACTAGGGACATACAAATTAAAACCTTAGAGGCAGATGTGGTGGTGCACACCTGTAATTCCAACACTTGGGTGGGTGAGGCAGGATTGCTGAGAGTTTGAGGCTAGCCTGGATTACACAATGAGTTCAAGGCCAGCTGGAACTACATAGTGAGACCCTGACTCAGAAACACAAACCAAACCAAAAACCAAAAACCAAACCAAACCAACAAACAACAACAACAACAACAAAACATTAAAACCATAGTTGGGATGCCATCACACACCCAGGTTGGCTGGAATAAAAAAGAACAAGAATGATAAAAACAAAGGAAAAAGAAAAATGCCAAGTGTTGGTGAGGATGTGGAGCTATTGGACCCAGTCCACTGGTGAAAGTATAAACTGGCATAACCACTTTAGAAAACTCTGGCAGTATCTACTAAAGTGGGACAGATGTATAACCTTTTGCCTTGCTATTCTACTTTTAGGTATATACCCAACAGGAACCCATATATATATTTACTAAAAATAAATACTGCCATGTTCAAAGAAGGGCAGTTTGTAATAGTACCACCCTAAAAGCTACCCACATACTCATCAACAGAATGGATAACCGGTGTTATCCTGTACTGCAAAGACAACTGATTTACAACTATGTGCATCCTGCACATGGATCTCACAAATGTAGTAAGATGTTGAGTAAAATAATACAAAAATAAATACATACTATTCATTTATACAGAATAAAGCAGAAAAACAAAAAACAAGGAAAAATTAGTCTACACTGTTAGAAGTCTAAGGTGGTTTGTGGGGAGCTAGGGGCTGGAAGAGGCCATGGGAAACCTTCCACAATGTTGGTGATGTTCTATTTCTTGATTTGGGTATTAGTTACATAGGTATGTTAAATGCGAAAACTCATTGAACTGTATGGTATGTGTACTTTTCTATATATTTAGAATATTTCAATAAAAAGTTGAAAATAACTGGAAGATGCATCCCAGTGCTGGTGTTGTTGAGGCATATTAGACAGGTGTCTGCCCTGGGAAACCAGCAATCTGAAAGTGGAGAGACGTCAGATGCACAGATACTTGGAATGTAGTGTGAATTTTTTTTCCATGAGTAGCACTGATAGAGCACTGTCAGTTTAGAGGATTGTCTGACCTAGTGACTGCCCAACTTCCCAACCCAATGAACACTTAGTCTATATCTACTTGACCTTGAATTGAAAGGTTCAGTTCAATAGGTAACCAGTCAAATTTTAGGAGGTAGAGGGAGAAATCTGGGAGTCATCACATGACGACAGTAATAGAAGCCATATATGTAGATTAGATTGCACAGAGAATGTGTTGAAAGAGAAGAAAAGAGACCAGACTATGAAAGGATCACGAAAAGGATTGGAGGACAAAAGCTCAGGTAGAAGAACAAAATTACGAGACCAAGAAAGAACAAAATAAGTAGATTACTTGATGGGTTAGAATATCTTGAGGGAAAATTAGCAAGGAATATATAGAAAGTGAAGTGATAACTATTGTAAGGATTTCACTATCTGTCTACATAACATCATGTTATAAACCTCAAATATGCACAATATAATTTATTTTAAAAATAAGCATCACCCCCAAAGCTAACAGTAGAGAGAAATATATATATGAAAAATAAGCCACCCTCTTTTAAAAACTTGGCTTCATTGGGAATTAACCCCAGCATAACTTCTCTGTGTGTTTCAGAACAGAGACTTGAGGAAATCAGGTTCTGGAAGAAAGAGTTGGATGGCAAGCTTGAGCAACTTGTGCATGAAATTGAGGACCTGCTGTCCTATAAGATCCGCCTGGAAAAAGCCCTGGAGAGCTTTAAAGAACCCTTGCACATCACTGAGAGGTGCCTGGAATACAGGTAGGAGGAGCAGAGGTGGTAGTGGAGTGTTCCTCTCCTGGGTCATCTGCTGTGAAAAAAGCAATGCTGGGTAGCAAAAGCTGACAGTGAGAGATAGGCAGGTTCTCTTTTAAACCTTGAAATTATCCTACCATGCTGTGGTGCTGGGCAGTGGGAGGAGTGTTGCTTTTCTCTGTCTACTAACTTCAATAGTTGGGACTAAGTTTGGCTGCAGGTATCAGACAACTGCACAATGACATTAAGCTTAAACAACATAGTTTCTGTCTTGCATTCAAAGAGTCTAGAGATGGTCTGTTCAGGTTGGCATGACATGCAACAGTTTTGGGGTCCAGGCCTTTTCTATCCTGTTACTCCATTGCCAGTGGCTCTCACTCCCCAGGTTACCTCATGGTTTAAGATGGCAGCTGGAGGTCCAGCCATTATGTCTGTATTCCCCTGCAAGTAGCAATAAGTAGGGTTTGGCATTCACCATGTTTGTTTGCATCTCATTGACTAGACCTTAATCACATGGTCACACCAACTCAAGAAGGGAAATGGTTGTCTTTGTTTTTGGCATCCAGGTGCTCAGCTAAAGAACCAGGGGTTCTATGGCCAGGAAAAATGGTGAGAACAGCTGGGTGTGGTGGTGCATGCCTGTAATCCCAGCATTCGGGAGGCTGAGGCACTAGGATTGCCATGAGTTTGAGGCCAGCCTGGGCCACATAGTGAGTTCAAGGCCAGCCTGAAATACATAATGAGACCCTGTCACAAAAAACCAAAACCAAATCAAACCAAAACAAAATATGGTGAGATCAGATACTACAGATACTGCACAACAATAAGTCTACTTCAATATACATAGCCACACAGAAGAACTTTGTAATCCAGAGAGCACTATATAAAGAGTCATAACTTTTATTACTTTCCTGTAAGTCTATGAGTGGCATTTCCCCCTAGAGTCTGGGTGATGCCAAGTCCTAGACTTGATCCCTGTCACAGCCTGGCTGGAAGGCCCTAACAGGTCTTCTTGCTGGCATCACAGCCCCCTACAATCCAGTGCATCCTCCACACTGGCTAGGAAGTGAATTTTTCCAAATGCAGATTTGAACTCATCATCCCCAGGCTTTAAAAAAATCCTTCAATTATCACCCCATGGCTCAACAGCTGCAGGATAAAGCTCGGGCTCCTTAGCTTAGCAAATACCAAGTTCATCATAACTGGGCTCGCAGTGACCTCTCCAGGCCCAGTTCCATCCCTGAGAGTGGGATGTGCTTAGGGAGCTGAGCTGCCTGCACCTTCCCCATTGTGCCATGCTTCTGTCATCCTGGAAAGCCCTCTTTCCTCTATGATCTGACTGCAGAGCTGGGACCCTCTGTAGCAACCAGGCAGTGACCTCCCCAACCCATTTTAGAGAGCACATGAAGCAGAGGGAAGCAGCAGCTAATCGAGGAGCCCAGTGTATCCCAGTCTAAGCCTAAGGATAATTGTAATTCAGAAGTTGTTAAATTTGTCTGGCACATACCGTGTACAAGGCACTGCACTATGTGCTTTCTACCTCATTTGTTCCTTGCCATAACTCTGTGAAGTGCTGTGAGTTATCTCCACTTTGCAAAAGGGGAAACCAAGGCACAGATCAATTTTGTAACATACTTCAGGCCACACAGCAAGCAGTTGGTGGGAGCTCTTGTCCCTACTATCATGCAGGGTAGGAAAAACAAAGTAGTAGGCAGTGGGGTCACTTTGGGAACTAGTACAGCATAGTGGTTAAAAGCATGGGTAAAGCCCGGTCTGTGATACTGGGCAAGTTACTTGGCCTCTCTGAGACTCAGTTTCCTTACCTGTACTTGAAAAGCTTAGGTAGGAATGGACTGAGGCAGGTGGATGGCAAGTTCAAGCTCAGCCTGGGCAACTTAACAATTAGTGAGGCCCTGTCTCAAAAAATGTAAAGGGCTGGGAATGTGGCTCAGTGTGAAGGCCCTGGGTTCATTTCAGCGCAATGCTTGTCCCACACTAGGCACTCTGTGGTGGAGATAATATTAATACTATTGGTGTTTTCATTAGTAGTTATTATTATTATTATTATAAAACATTGTTCTGGATTAAATTCTCTGATTTCTTGTCAAGAACATTACTGGGGTCAAAGAGGGTAGCACATGTCTTTTAAATTCTGTCATAAGACAAGATTTCCAATGAATACTTAAGAAGGGACAGACTTCAGAGCTGATGGCCAAATTAAGGAGTGGGGATAGAATCCATCTGGTATTTTTCAGACCCAGAGGCCAGTCCCCATCGATTGTTTTTCTTTGTGTTTTGGATTTTTTTGAAGTAGCACAGATACTCCCTAGTGCCCATTCCCCACCGCATTGCCAGAGGGTTGGGATGATACTTGTGGTCCAGGGAGCTTTAAATGTCCTGAGCCTCTGCAACCCCCTGCCAGGGAGAAGCGTGTGGGGATCGATCTGGTACACGATGTGGTGGAGCAGGAGCTGCTGAAGGAGGCAGAGATCATTCGGGGCGTCATGGCTCTGCTAACCCGGACACTGGAGGAAACGTTGGAGCAGATCAGGTACAGTTGTCCTGGCCTCTCCATTGCGTCCACCCAGGCTGGGCTCCGTGGCACAGAGGGATGGGGTTGACCACTCCCACACATGGTCTCTGTGTCCCCAGGTTGTCCCTCCTCCATGTGGTGGTCACACTAGGGTGGTGGGTGGTGGGGCCAGATTTGGTCTGTGATGATAAACTGGAGGATGCTGGAGTCTGTTGCTGCCAGGGCTGACCCCTCATATAGTTTGGGACCATGGTGACATCAGAAATGTCACCTTGGAAGGGACGATCTCAAATTCCAGGTTTGGTTATGTCACTTTGTCACCAAAGATCCAGTGGTGTATGTGTGTGTGTTAGGGGGATGGGGAAGTAGGGTGGAAGTATGGCCACCCAGTACCCTGCCTAGCTTCAGCTTCATTTTTCAGGGTCTCTCAAGGACTTGTAGGTGCCACCTGGGTTTTCCAGAGGGAGAAACCCAGTTTATCCTCTCCCTTCAGGCTGAACCGCTCGGCCAAGTACCATTTGGAAAAGGATTTGAAGGACAAGTTCGTGGCCCTGACCATTGATGACATCTGCTTCTCGCTCAACAACAACTCACCAAACATCAGATATTCTGAGAATGTCATGAGGATTGAACCCAAGTGAGTAGGGTGCTGATGTTGGGCTGGCCCCAGGTGGGACTGCCCCGGAGCCCCTCTTATAGGCAGGACCTGACCAGACAGGTGCTGAGCAGGGTTGGCTGTGACCTGGTGACTGGAGGCTCCTCTCACTTGAAGACAGTGACAGAAAACCTTGAAAGATTTAAAATGTATTCTCTTATCTATTCATGTTTTTAACAATAACAGATTCTAAAAATACATAAAGGAGGACTTAAGAATTTTCCCCATCTGTCCTATCTTTCCATTTTCCAGACCTCAAAATAAGCAGAATTACCTGTAAGTTCATACAAACACGTATCCACACTCCACACACAAGTCCATTTTGTTTAGTTTGCAAAAATGGAATTATACTGTGTCCCTCTTCTGTAACATCTAACCTGCATTTTTCAATTATTAGCATAATGAACTTACCTCATGCTAATGTTTTGAAATAAAACAGACATACAGAAAAGTGCACAGATTATAAACACACAGTTCAGTGAATCATTATTGTATTAATTATATTTATAACAAATTACTCCAAATCTTAACTGCTTAAAGGAGTAAATATTTATTAATCGGATAGTTCTGGTGAGTTTAGTTGAGTGCCTCCTGCACGGAAGTCAAGCTGGCTGCTGGGGCTGCCATCTATCTGAAGGCTGGACTGGGGTGGGGTCCACTTCCAAGAGGATCCAGGTGGTGATGGCGGGCCTCAGTCCCTGGCACGTGAGCTTCTCTGTGGAACAGTTTTATGACATGGGAGCTGGCTTCTTCCACACCAAGCGATCTAAGTGAAGGAGAAAGATGGAGGTGGGGAAAAGGAGAAGGAGAGGGAGAGGGACACCCAAAAGAGAAGCTTCCATCTTCTGTACCCTAATCTCAGCACTGACATCTCATTCTTCTATTGTGAGAAAAGTTAACATGTTTACTTTGTACTCAAGCCAAGGAGCCTACACAAAGGTCTGAATATCAGGAGGCAGTGACTGCTGGGGACCAGAGACTGCCCCAGTCACAAAGTGGAAAATCTTCCCATTTTTCTGCCAAACCAGGGAAAAATCAACCAACCGACCAATCAATATCACCACCACCACCACCACAGAGGCCCTCACTGTCCCCTTCTGATCAATAATTTTTTCCACCCCAAAGGTAGCCACCCTCTCGATTCCTAATAGGTTTGTTTTGTCTACTTTTTATCAAAAAAGCAGCCTACACTATATGTTGTGTGGGTGTCCAGTTTCTTCTAATTAACATCATTTTGAGGTTCTCATCCATGTTATTAACAATTTCTCATCAAAATAGCAATTTGTTCTTTTATTTATATCTTCATGGACTCAAGGTTTCCTGTTTTATTCAGTGTGTTACTGTTATTGTTTGTTTTGATGCTGAAATTGCTCCTAGCTGTGTGATCTAGACCAAGTGACTTCACTTTTCTGAGTCTCAGTTTTCCTCTCCTGTAAACTGGGGATTAGAAGAGTTAGCTCACTAGGCCACCATGAGGATTGAATGAAGTCCTGTGTGTAAGGTGCCAGCCTAGTGCCTGGCACTGAGTCAGGAGGTTCCCAAAGACATTGCCATCGACTGATCTCTCTTCGCTCTGCTGAGAGATGTGGGAAAACCTTCTAGGTGCCTCCTATGATGGAGGTAGGCTTAGCTTCTGGTACATTTCTGGGAGCTTGTCCCCTTCTCTGCCCCATTCCCTGTCCCTCATAAGCTGTGAATGAACAGATGTGTGTGTCATGTTCCAGCTCCGTGAGTCTGGAAGACTGGCTGGACTTCTCCAACACCAATGTGGAAAAGGCTGACAAGCAGCGCAACAACTCCCTCACCCTGAAGGCCCTAGTGGACCGAATCCTATCGCAGACAGCCAGTGACCTGCGAAAGCAGTGTGATGTGGTGAACACGGCTTTTGAGAATGGGCTCAAGGAGACCAAGGATGCCAGGGACAAGCTGGCTGTTCATCTGGCCAAGGTGAGGTCCCCGGGGGAACATGGAGCCTGTGCAGGAGGTTTCACCATGGAAACGAGAATGCCCCCAGGGGTGAGGCTGTTACACTGCTGGGCTTGTGACGGTGGGGTAGGTGATGAGTGAGAGTCAATCACATCTCTCCGTCTTACCAGCAGGCTTTTGGCTTTGGGAGACTGGATGGGATTTTGCCCCATTCTAGGGCTCCATTGTCACTCACTGGGGCAGAGGAGCACAGAGGCAGCAGATGGAAGGTGGGACACTCAGGGACTGGCCCCAGCGTTGTGTCTGGCTGGCTGACCTCAGGCACACTGAGCCTCAGTTCTTCTTTATGTGACATATGGAGATGGACAACCTGGCATCTGACATCCTTTGTGGCTCTGAATGCCCATGAGTTGATGCCACCCATTTCTCCAAATGCAGCCAGCCCTGGTCTCTGGCCAGGTGTCCCTCCTGTTTATCCAGAAGTATGCTGGTAAATGAGCTTTTAGGGGGCCAAAAAAAAAAAAAGCTCTAAGTGGTAGAATTTACACATTTCCATGGTGCAAATACTCCTGCTGTGGTCATTTTTTCAAGTTACATGTTAAACACTGGGTTCTCGGAGCTGCTGGATAGATAACAACTGGAGCAGCTGTAGCCCACCTTCCTCACCGCCCAGGAGCCACGGTCGTGAATGTAGAGGAGCAGGCCACAGGCTAAGCTCAGGGACACTGAGAGCCAGAGTTCAGTGCAACAGTAATACATGTGAACTGAAGATTAGGGGCCCAAACTCCAGTCTGGTGACAGCCAGCTGGGGGATTGAAGCAGATTCCTCAAGCTCTCTGAGCCCTTGCCTCAGCTATAACATGGGTAGAAACTCTAGGGCATCATGACCAGTGGGAATACAATGCAAGCCACATGTGTCATTTTACATTCTCCAAAACCCAGCACTCAGGAGGCTGAGGCAGGAGGATCACTGTGAGTTCAAGGCCAGCCTGAACTACATAGTGAGACCCTGTCTCAAGAAAAAAAAAGTGAAAACAAATGAAATTGTTATAGTATATTTTAGTCTGCTCTATAAAAACATTATAATTTAACATGTTATTAATATAATTAATGATATATCTTACTTTTTTAACAAAACTAAGTATTCACAATCTGAGGCCTTCCCTTGGTGTCTGCAGGGATTGGTTTCAGGACCTTCCTTCGATTCCAAAATCCATGGTCGCTCAGGTCTCTTAAACAAAGTGGCATCGTATTGGCATAGAACCTACACACATCCTCCCATACACTTTAAAGCATGTAGATTACTAATGATACCTAACATAGTATAAATGTGACGTAAATGTTGTTATGCTTATTGTTTAGGGAATAATGAGAAAAAAAAGTCTGTACATGCTCAGTAGAAGTGCCACTGTTTTTGAATGTTTTCTTTTAAAAAAATGTACATCAAGTAGAACTTTAGCATCCCAGTTTTAAAATGCAGAAACAGAAGTCTAGAGAAGTTAGAAATCTAGCCCACAGACTTGAACCTGGTAGAGGGCAGTGCTGGGGTCAAACCTAGTTCCTCTGAATCAACATCAAGCCTCTTGAATATTTTCTATCCATAGCTGGCTGGATTGGTAGATGCAGAACTGAGGATGCTGAGGACTATTGTTTGACACTAGCTGCACCTCTCAGGACTAGGCAGAGTAGCTGCTGTGACTGGCTGTTGCTATGTTGGTCTTACTATGGAAGGGTATCAGCAGGTTCATCAAAGTGGGGTGGCCTCAAGTCAAACATAGCCATGAAAGACAACCAGAATTTAATCTGAAATAATTTTATTTTATTTACTTTTTGGGTCCTGAAGCTGCAGCTTTTCTTTTTTTCCCCCTATTTTTTTTCCCCATTAACTTTATTGGTACATTTTAGGTATAAAATACAGTTACATTCATCATTGGGATCTTGTACCATTACATGAGTCTCTTGGTT